CTATGTTATCAATTCGGAAAAAAAATTCGGAATTGAAAATGAGAGCATATTATTTAATCAAATTTTAACAACTTAACAATTATTTAAAAAGAATTAGGAATCATTAACTAATGATTAAAATCAATTATCAAAATAAAAGTAAACAATCATATTCTAATGATGAGGTAATAATAAGCAATCAAATAATAGGCAATCATAAGCAATCATATCTTTACTAATAATTGTAAAATGACTACCCATTCATTACCAATTATTGACAATCATGCAAAAACCACCTAAATTCATGCAAAACTACTTCTACACCATGCAAGTTGAAGAAAAACATGCAAAACCACTTTTAAAAAAAATTACAGAGACCGAAAGCATGCAAATTTTTTTCTTTTTTTTTTTCCTTTTTATATTCCGAGATCTACCTTAATGCAATATATATAAAAGGTGGATAGTACCGAGGGAGAAAAACGTGATTGATGGAAAAAGAAAATACATGAACCGTAAGTTTTTTTTTCCAGAAACCCGTGAGCACTGAACCATATAACCAAAGAAGAAAAGGAATTGGATTCATCAAGACAAATTCGATTTAAACTTGTAGGATAAAATAATTGGAGAATCAAAGTAATCAATCAAACCGAAGGCTCGTGTTTACACTGTTTTCTTATATCGAATTCGCCGCCTCACCAGGGTGCACGAGGTTTTGATCGGTGTTCGATTCCCAGGATACAATCGGTCGTCGGTTCCCGCTGCACTANCAATCAAACCGAAGGCTCGTGTTTACACTGTTTTCTTATATCGAATTCGCCGCCTCACCAGGGTGCACGAGGTTTTGATCGGTGTTCGATTCGTAGGATACAATCGGTCGTCGGTTCCCGCTGCACTACGTTAACCGCCTACGAACTAGTTGCGTCTATCTTTCGAAGGAATAAGCAAAGGAAAATAAAACCAGGCTGCCGGTAAAAGAAAAGGAGGAAACTGTTGTTTAGTTTTGTTTTTCCTTTGGTTGTGTTTGTTGTTTGAATCACTTGTACTTCTTCCACCAAGAAGTCTTCTATTTATACCCATAGATGAGGGGGTAGCCATAAATGCAATTGACATTGAAGATGAAGACGAACGGCTGAAACAGCTGAAACTGAAATGTAGGAAATGAATTGCTAAACTGCAGATTTAAATGCTGGAAAATGAATTGCTAAACTGATGAAATGAATTGCTAAATTGTTGATTTTCATTCAATATGAAATTATTTTCCAACAATTTCATTCATGAGAACATGGAATTCCTATGATAGTTACTCTTACCCCTTGAATGTCGATATAAGGTGGGATTTAGTTTATTAATGTGGAAAGCATATTCAATAACTTGATAGAGTCAGCCTAGCTAATAAATCATTTTTTGCAGGTATATCATGTTGCGCGGAAGCTCTGGTTTCTCTTCATATGCAATAATGGAACATTTAGAAGGATGGCCCGATTTAAATATTGATGAAATGAGGACTACTTTCAAACTTGACGATGCCATGTAAGATATGAGAATTAGAAACTTTAAAATGAATTACATGCTCAATGTGAGCTTCAATAATTTTAACTATATTGTATATGCAGGTTCCATTACATGGCTACATCAGACGACATACAAAGGATTATGCCAACAGCTTGTGATCATGCAGGAGGCCAAGTTCTCAAATATAGAGAAGCTGATTTGCTGACAAATCTAAGCAATCCATCCCTCAAAGGCGAGGTGGATGACAAGTATCAGTACTCGTGTGACAACAAGGATAGCTTAGCATACGGGTGGATTAGCACTGACCATGACATTGGATTTTGGGTGATTACACCGAGCAATGAGTTCCGTGCTGGTGGCCCGGTGAAAATTGATCTTACATCTCATGTTGGTTCGACTTCTTTAGCTGTAAGTACTTCTGTTCTGGTAAAAGTCACTTTAAAATCACGAAATACATCTTTCGAAAATTCTTGACGTCCTTTAGGAAATACAGTCTCTTCATCAGTAATATTTATCTAAGAATATAATTGACACTTTCTTATTCACTAATTTCTTCTGAATTATCAACGTCCAGGCATTTTTTAGTGGTCATTATGCTGGTCCAAATTTTGGAATTAGATTACGCAATGGAGAGCCGTGGAAAAAGGTCTTCGGACCTGTTTTTATATACCTGAACTCAGGTTCAGGTAACAAGCCAATGACACTTTGGGAAGATGCTAAAGCACAGGTAATTTACATTCAACAAAATACAATAAATAAATATTTGAAAATTTCCAATTTACAAATCATGACATTATTATGTCATTTTCGTTCCCCAACCTAACTCACGTTAATCATTTCAATTTATCAGATGCAAAAAGAAACCCAAAAGTGGCCATATGATTTTCCAAGTTCAAAAGACTACCCTCAGGCCAATCAACGGGGCACCATAAGTGGTCGATTATTAGTTCGTGACCGATGTCTCAGTCGAGAATTAATGCCTGCAAAATCAGCATATGTGGGATTGGCTCCACCAGGGGATGTGGGATCATGGCAAACATGTTGGAAGCAAACAAGAAATCCCACATCGGTTGAGAGAAGAAAAGAAATCCACTATATAACCCAAGTGGGCTACTCCACCCATTGCCAATTGATTTTGGGTTGGAACCTCACTTGGGCTTGATGGTGTGGGTTTGGGCCCGATCAATTTGCTCATTATTTTCCCTATAACCGTAACTTACTAGTTTGTTCCTCTGGGATGTTTACGCATTGGTATGCAATAAACTTTGCATTACTGCCCAGCATATTGGTATTCTCCTGTGCATTTTGTAATGGCTTCATTTGCTTTCTGAGATTCTACCAGTTCTTCTCTTTCCTTTTTCTCCCTAACATCAAAAGGATTCTCTGAATTGTTATATGGAACATTTTAAGTGATTATGGACTTCGGAGGAAATTATTACCTGTCAACATATTCTTTTAACAGTTCTTTCACTTGAACCTGCCCAGAAAGTAGAACACGATAGATATCAAGCTCACGATCAGCACTTTTCTTATCTACATGTAGTGCAACACAAAGCTGTCACACAAACAAAGAAATAAGCCAGTGAGAAACTGTATTCAGCAGTAAAAAAATTCTCATCATCCATGACAGNACTTGAAGAAGGCAGAAGGTGGGTCTGTCGCCCAACATTTGAATAAGTTTAATACCATCACTAATCAATTATAATCTATTGAAATTGAATTTGATGATGAGATTCGGGCTCTAATATTGTTGGCATTACTGCTAAACAGTTGGGAAGCCATGAGAATGGCTGTTAGTAACTCTGCTGGTAAGACGAAATTAAAATACGACGATATTCATGATTTGATTTTTGCTGAGGAAGTGCGCATAAGGGACTCTAGGGAGACCTTAGGATCAAATTCCGCTTTGAACGTTGATGCTCGTTGGAGGTCACATGACAGGAACTCAAACAGAGGAACATCAAAATCAAGGAACATGAGCAGGAGCAAATTAAGGCCTAGACACAAACAACTTGCTGAAATTGTGGCAAAACATGCCACATAAAGAAAAACTGCAAAAACCCGAAGAACACAGATACTGACAATGCTAACATAGTAACTGAAGAAGTACAAGACGCGTTACTACTTGCAGTTTACAGCTCTGTTGATAACTGGATATTGGATTCAGGGGCATCCTTTCACACCTCTTCTCTTCGGGAGATCATGAGAAACTATATTGTCGGTGATTTTGGAAAGGTGTACTTGGCTGATAGAAAAGCATTGAACGTTGTAGGAATTGGAGACATTGACATTGCACTTACTAATAGGAACGTGTGGACCTTGCAGAATGTTAGACACATTCTCGAGTTGAAGAAAAATTTAATTTCCGTAGGACAGCTCTACGACTCGATCACTCAGTAATGTTCTTAAATTGCACCTGGAAGGTTACTAAAGGAGCACTGGTATTGGCTCGAGGCAAAAAGACTGGTACTCTTTACATGACCGGATGTTCTAATGACACCATTTCTACCAACGCTGTAGAGATCACCGCATAGTTGTAGCACTGCAGGCTTGGCCATATAAGTCATAAAGGCATGAAGGCACTTCTATCAAAAGGCAAGCAACCAGAGCTAAAGTCAGTTTCTTGAAGAGTGGCAGAGCTTTAAAATCAGGAAAGCTAGACCTTTTACACACAGATGTATGGGAACCCTCTCCAGTGGCATCTCTTGGAGGTTCCAGATATTACGTCACGTTCATCGACGATCACAGCAGAAAGGTGTGGGTCTATTTTCTAAAATTTAAATATGATGTATTTGATGTATCAAAAGGTGGAAGCCCTAGTTGAGAAAGAGACAAACCTGAAGCTGAAGTGCTTAAAGTCTGACAATGGTGGAGAATACATTGATGGAGGATTCAAAGAGTACTGTACAGATCATGGTATCACAATGGAAAAGACCATCCCTGGGACACCACAACAAAATGGCATGGCTGAGCGCATGAACATAACTATCAATGAGCATACTAGGAGTATGAGGTTGTACGCAGGGCTACCACCTACATTCTGGGGCAGATGCAGTTAACACTAAGTACGGACTACCTAAGGAGGCTTGGAGTGGAAAAGAGGTTAAGCCTTCCCACTTAAAAACCTTTGGTTGTGTTTCTTACGTTCTTGTTGATTCCAATGCTCGCAACAAACTTGAAGCAAAATCAATAAAATGCTATTTCATTGGTTATGGAGACAAGTCATTTGGTTATTGATTCTGGGATAAACAGAGGCGGAAGATTATTAGCAGTAGAAATGTGGTGTTCAATGAGAAAGTCATGTACAAAGACAAACCTAGCAAAGTTGCTGATATAACTCCTCAACTGTCCGAGTTCGTGAATTTGGATGACCTTCCAGAGGTCACAGTCTAATGTAGAGACATGGGTGACAGTGAAAGTGGACCCAGCGCGTCCATTCCACAGTCTAATCCAGAACTATCCACACCTACGGCTACAATTCGGAGGTCTACTAGGACTATTCGACCCCATCATTTTTCACCCACACTAAATTACATTCTATTGACAGACGATGGAGAACCGCAAAGTTATGAAGAAACCTTGCAAGATGAGAATTCGAACAAGTGGGAGTTGGCCATGAAGGATGAGATAGATTTTCTGCTAGGAAATCAGACATGGGAGTTGATAGAACTTCCACCTGGGAAGAAGGCTTTGCAAAACAAGTGGTTGTACCGTATAAAAACTGAGCACGATGGTAGCAAGAGATACAAGGAAAGGCCTTGTTGTAAAAGGCTTTTAGCAAAAAATGAGCATTGACTACTCTGAGATTTTCTC